TACAGAAATAGATGTGCTGGCGTCATCCTGATTAAGGTATTGCTGGACTACAGTTGAAGGACTCATTTCTAGCCCCTCCCCAGCTTCAGAAGCTCCCTACAACCCCCAGTCCGTGGACTGGTACCGGGCCGTGGCATGCCAGCAACCGGGCCGCACAAACAAGCAAAGCCCCATCCGCAAGATGCAGCCAGTACACGAAACCACGCCCCTTCCGGTCCATGGAAAAACCTCTCTCCATGGAACCAGTCCCTGGTGCCCAAAAGGTTGGGGACCTCTGCCCTACATGACTTGGGGTCTAGTCCTGACATCACCCCCTAGCCCTGCCTACTACATGGGCTCCTTGCTATGAAAAAAAAAAAACAGAAGAGAGAGGACATGTACAGACAGTCATTGACTTACATTTGTTGAGTGACAGTGTGAAGTTACAACAGCATACAACAAGCCACGTATGACCGTTTTTCACACTTATGACCGTTGCAGCATCCCTGTGGTCGCACGATCAAAATTCAGATGCTTGCCAACTGACTCGTATCGATGACGAGTGCAGTGTCCCGGGGTCTTTTGTGACCTTCTGACAAGCAAAGTCAATGAGGAAGCCAAATTCTCTTAACAACCGTGTGACCAGTTTAACAACGCAGCGGTTCACTTAACATCTGTGGCAAGGAAGGTCATGGAAATCGGACACAACTCACTTAATAAGTATCAGTTGGGATCAATCGTGGTCATAAGTTAAGGACTATTGTACTCTGCCCTGCTCTCCTGGAGGAAAGGCCAGATCTAAATCTCACCACTTAATGCGAACAGGAATCCATGCTTTGTTGTGGGACAGTGCAAACACAGCTACCCAAAAGTTTTAAATTAAATTAACACATGCATGTTGGCCTAAGCCCAGCAGTTCACCAGCTATGCTTGGCTTTTGAGGTGAATTGGCTTCAATTCAATTTGATTCAATTCAATTCAAAACATTGCAAGAATTCGGTAGGTCTAGTTCAGGGGCAGGCAACCTTGGCTCTTTTATGACCCGTGGACTTCAACTCCCAGAATTCCTGAGCCAGCCTTGAAGTCCACCAGTCATAAAAGAGCCAAGGTTGCCTATCCCTGGTGTAGGGTTTCCTGCTTGAGTAGGGGATTGGACTAAATGACGTCTAAGGTCCCTTTCAATGCTGTTATTGTGTTCAATTCAATTCACATGGCAATTCATCTAAAAATCACTATTCCTGTTCAGACGCAGGCTGATTTTGGACCTTCTACTACGCAGCCAGCGATCCGTCCTGTAGCTTCCACCATTCTTGGAGGGGTGGGTGGGGAGACCATGTTTTCCATCCTCTATAAACAATTCTTCCTGTCTTTCATCAGAGCTGAAGGGCAAACACAGCCACCACCCACGAACCACTTGCAGATGGTCCTGCCTCCATGACAGGAGATGATTTTTATTTGGTTTGTGGTTACAGAATAAGGAAACAGCAATAACTTCACGATGGAGGACAGGCAGGAATTTATGCACCGCTCCGAGTGTACATATGCAGAATAATCTATTTAGTCATCATTATGCAAACCTAATATTACCATCCTTTAAATAAGTTTGGGCCCTGCTTGGAAAAAGAATGCTCCTTCCAGTTTCATGGAAGAAACAGTTTCTACAAAAAGGAAAGTTTCAAGGCATTTTTGAACTCCAAACCTAATTCCCAGGGGCAGAATGTTGGTGATGGAATCATTGTAAGGTGTTATTAGGTGATTCCTCCAAAGATAGGAAGTCTCGGCAGAGAGCCTGGTCAGGATGAGTAACTACAAAATGTATTTCCCTACATGACCCCAGGCATCACTTTTACTTTGACTGTGAAAAACAGAGGGGTGCCATTCTGAACAAATCAGGGGTAAACCTCTGCGGAGATTCTCAGTCATCCAAATCATGGATGTCCCAAAGGTACTTTGTTGTAGTTGTTGTTAATTGCGAAGTCATGTCCGACCCATTGCGACCCCATGGACAACGTTCCTCCAGGTCTTCCTGTCCTCTACCATTTTCTGGAGTCCATTTAAGTTCACACCTACTGCTTCAGTGACCCCGTCCAGCCATCTCATTCTCTGTCGTCCCCTTCTTCTATTGCCCTCCATCTTTCCCAGCATTAGGCACTTCTCCAGTGAGTCCTTCCTTCTCATTAGGTGGCCAAAGTTCTTGAGTTTCAACTTCAGAATCTGGCCTTCTAAAGAGCAGTCGGGGTTGATATCTTCTAGGACTGACCGGTTTGAACACCTTGCAGTCCAAGGGACTCGCAGGAGTCTTCTCCAGCACCATAGTTCAAAGGGCTCAATTTTTTGGCGCTCAGCCTTTCTTATGGTCCAACTTTCACAGCCATACATTGCAACTGGGAAAACCATGGCCTGGACTATACGCACTTTTGTTGGCAGGGTGATGTCTCTGCTTTTTAGAATGCTGTCTAGATTTGCCATAGCTTTCCTCCCCAGGAGCAAGCGTCTTTTAATTTCTTGGCTGCAGTCCCCATCTGAGGTGATCTTGGAGCCAAAGGTACTTAATAGTAATAAAATTGGAAGGGACCTTGAAGGTCATCTAGTCCAACCCCCTGCTCAGGCAGGAAACCTGCCTTTTTCAAGAGGCAATTGGACTTTCTTGGTTTTTCCGTACATGACGTTTCACTTCTCATCCAAGAAGCTTCTCCAGTTCTGACTGGAATGGAAGGATTAACAACCAGTTGTCTGCAAGGAATATAAATCCTTCCATTCCCCACCACCCAGTCAGAGCTGAGGAAGCTTCTTGGATGAGAAGTGAAACGTCTTTAAGGAAAAACCAAGAAAGTCCAGTTGCCTCTTGAAAAAGGCAGGTTTCCTGCCTGAGCAGGGGGTTGGACTAGATGACCTCCAAGGAAAAAGAAGAAAGCCCAGTTGCCTTTTGAAACAGGACCTATGGAAAGAGGTAGGATATTCAGGAGGTAGATATTCAGAAAGATTTGGGGCTGCCTAAGGAACTGTAACCGGCTGTAGAGCCGTTCATTTATTTTTCAGCCATTCCCACAGTAGCTTTCCTAGGCAAGTGCTTGCTTTTGCAAATGTCTCAGTTTATTTGCTGCAGCTTTAAAAGCCCGCTGAATATTTTTTTTATAAAGAGCAGCACAGATGGAATTTGCTAATTGGAACACTGCCCTGCCTACAAACACAATGCCCATTTGAAAACCACCAAGGACATCAATCTCTTCCCCAAACATTTTCAAATAAACACCCAAAAATGTACTTTGCTATGAGCAGTATTTTGAAGAAAGGTCATAGATTTGGTTCTTAAAACTACACCCACTTTTTGGATGAAAGGCCAGAATTTGATCCAGTGGATATAACCAAAAAAAGAGAGTTGGAAGGGACCTTGGAGGTCTTCTCATTCAACCCCCTGCTCAAAGAGAAGAACTATACCATTTCAGACAAGTGGCTGTCTAGTCTTCTTAAAAATCTCCAGGGTTGTAGCGTTCACAACTCCTGGAGGAAGGTTGTTCCACTGGTTAATTGTTCTGTCAGGAAATTTCTCCTTACTTCTAGGTTGCTTCTCTCTTTGGTTAGTCTCCACCTGTTGCTTCGTGTCTTGCCTTCAGGTGCTTTGGACAACAGGCTGACCCAAAGTATGCATGAGCCCTTTAAAATGCTCCTTGCAGAGATAGATAGGTAGATAGGTAGATAGACTGATAGATAAATAGGTAGATGATAGATCAGGGGTTCTCAACCTTGGCAACTTTAAGACTTGTGGACTTCAACTCCCAGAATTCCTCAGCCAGTTTTGCTTTGCTGGCTGAGGAATTCTAGGAGTTGAAGTCCACAAGTCTTAAAGTTGCCAAGGTTGAGAACCCCTGGGATGGATGGATAGATAGATAGATAGATAGATAGATAGATAGATAGATAGATAGATAGATAGATAGATAGATAGAGAGGTAGGTAGGTAGGTAGGTGGATAGATGGATGGAGGGATGGATAGGTAGGTAGGTAGGTAGGTGGATGGATGGATGGATGGATAGGTGGATGGATGGATGGATGGATGGATGGATGGATGATAGATAGATAGATAGATAGATAGATAGATAGATAGATTTAAAAATCCTTCTTAATACTGACCATTGAGGACACTCTCACCTTATTTAGAAGATGGTGTGTCGATTTGCATTGCATAATGCTTAAGAAGAGGCTGCCTCTTCCTCCTCCTTTTTAATTTAAGTGCACAGGACCCTAATCTGGATCAGGATTATTAGGGGCAGAATTCACAAAGTTTTCCCTTCCTTGTTTTGTTATGAAAAAATCATATAGTTCCTTGCAGGTTTTGGAGTTTGACTTTGAAACATGCACACATAGTGTGGGATTGGGGTTAATGGATCAAAGGGGGGGGGATAAATCCTAAACACGTGGAATGATAATGAATGTTGCATAAGAAGAGAGAGGGTAGAAGGGACGAGACCACCTCATCTAATCCTTAGTGTCAGCATCCTGCTGTAGATCAAGCCACAAGCCATCTGAAGACAGACAGACAGTCAGCTAGAGAATATGTCATCCATATGAATTGGGACCATTTCAGCTCAGCTGGGTATGTTGCATAGGAACCAAACTCAAAGCCTGCCTGAATTCAACACCTCTTCCATCAGGGAAGAACCCAGAAATGTCACAATTTGTGGTCTTTACAGGCTATTTTTCTGATGGACCACAACAGCTTTTCTGACCACTAGATCCTCTTGCCTTTGGACAAAACATTGCATTTGAAAGGAGAAATGGAAGACAAAAGGTTATGTTGTGTAGGGTTAAGATGCATATATCTATCTATCTTTTTGACATTTGTGTACAGAAACTTCTACAAAATGGAACTACTAGTCATGTCATGGCTAACCAGTATGAAGAGCAACCAATAAATTTTCATCACCTCTATAAAAATAATATGTAATTATGAGGCAATAAAGCTTTAACCGGGATCAGTGCCAACCACCCCTCCTATAATGCCAAAACATAATTTTACTACCTACCAGTCCAGCTATTGGTGTTGACAGTCGATTGATCTTTTTAATGATGCCAGGTTTGATCTTGTTAATTAGACTATTAAAAAAGGGAAAGAGAGAGAGTTAATCAAAAATGTAAATGCATTTTTTAGTATGTATGTATAAATTCATTAGGTAGAAAATTATTGTTTGCTTCAGCTTTTGCATAGATTAGATACCTGATATATATATATTAAATACAAATATTTTTAAGCATTGGAAAATTAAAACTCTATATAATGAAACTGTCATGGTTCCAGCAGATGAAACTCTTCCAAAAAAAACTTCAAGGCATTATTTACCTTAAAGAATCTTTTATTTGAGTAGCATAATATCAGCACTGCATAATCGAAGCCAAAAACTGAATTCCCCTCCCCTAGCACAAAATATCAAAGCACAATTCCCTCCTCCAATTAACAGTCATAAATCACATTCCCCAATTAGCTTGAAGACGGGCTTCCTCTCCACCTCTCCAGATTGCCAATTCTTTATCAGCTCTGGGCCCAATAACCTTGATTCTCATACTGAGTTTAGTGTTGTTATATTTAGCTGGACTCTCATTCACATCCCCCCTCCCAGCATCATCTAACTCTAAAAGTGAAAGGGAAAAAGATGGCTACATTTTCATCTGTCAATGCAAAAATATCCGACATTAGCAGCGTTGACAGAAACATGGTAAATATGGGCTTTACAGAGCTGGCTATCTAAGATATTAGTTTTTGAAAATTTTCTTGCTTTCAAGGAAACTCCGTTGAAGCAAAAAAATTCATCCCAGATTGTGAATAGTTCTTGCCAAATCTTTGGCTGGTCTCAGTATCACTATGTATGAATCAACAATCCAAAATCTTTTAAAACCTCTTTTGTTGTGGAATAAATTGCTGATAAGGTTCTGACTTTCTTGGAACACAATTAGACTGCTGCAGGCTTAAAGATATCATTTCTCTTTATAATACCAGAAAGTTATTGCACTGTACTTATCAGTTCTTTCTGAGAAACAGGATACAGTCAACTCTATAGTGTGAATTAAGATCCTAGAGTATAAACAACAGAGAAGCTAAGGAAATCTTTACTCCAGGGTGCCTCAAACCAATTTGTTCCCTAGTCTGACTCAGATTTTCAAAATTCCTCAGAATAAGCCATCATGGCCAGATTCTCACATGACTGTCTTTGAAGAGGCCCCAACGTCTCCTAAAAATAGATTTTATTGAGACCCAGACTCAGTCCACATTTGGCTCCCGCTCTGCTCATAATTATGGATAAGCACTTTTATTTAATGATCGGTGAGTTATTATGGCTGGTCTACTGGAGATCATTTCTATTAAACGGAACATTTATTGGTGATGATTTATCTTCCAAGCTGTCAAGTAAAGAGCAGTTATGAATCAGCTCCAGTGACATTAAGAACAGGAGAGGGAACTAGGATGCTCTACTTTAGGTGAGGTTGAAGAACTGCTGGTTGATTCAATGCACAAAGCATTATGATCAACTAGAAGTGAATTAAGCAACATCACCTTCATCCCCCCATGGTACCCAAGAACAAGGATTCCTTCAGTGTTTATACTTCTATACAACATAAGACAGTGGTTCTCAACCTGTGGGTCGGGACCCCATTTGGGGTCGAACGACCATTTCACGGGGGTCGCCAAACAACGCAGTCCGCCATTCTCCCCCCCTTTTCCTTAGCTGTGCTACTCCCTTTTATTCTATTGGCTTTTGAAAGCCAGTAGAATAGACTCTCTTAAATAGAGTCTAATTCTATTGGCTTTCAAAAGCCAATAGGAATTGTGCAGGCTGTCTCTGCCCTGCTGAGCCCGCCAAAAGTCCCATTCTGCAAACGGTGCTGCACCAGTTGAGTAGTCCTCGACTTACGACCGGTTGAGTAGTCCTCGACTTACGACCGGTTGGGGGTCGCGGCATTAAAAAGGTTGAGAACTACTGACATAAGGTAACATAAGCTATCTTTGATAGCTCAGCAATGAATAAGTGGTGATAAGTTCATCAATCAATCAACCAGAAGAGAGCTGGAAGGGACCTTGGAGGTCTTTTAGTCCAACCTCCTGCTCAAGTAGGAAACTTTATACAATTTGAGACAAGTGGCTGTCCAGTCTCTTCTTTAAAATCTCCAGTGATGGAGCACCCACAACATCTGAAGGCAAGCTCTTTCCACTGGTTAATTGTCCTCGCTGTTAGGAAGTTTCTCCTTAACTCCAGGTTGCTTCTCTCCTTGATTAGTTTCCATCCACTGTTTTCTTGTCTTGCCTTCTGGTTCTCTGGAACATCTGTAAAGCCAAGGTGCCCCATCAAAGAAAACAAAGCAAACCATGCTTGTATTTTCCTTTTTTTCCACCATGCAATAAAAATAGATTGAAGTAATTCCAATGTCAAGAAGCAGTGGCAAAGCATTGCTGGAAACTTTGCTAAGAAAACTCCAGGGACTTTGGGAATCTGACACAACACAACTGAATGGAAGAAAACCAAGAATGTTAAAACATATTTATTCAGAAGTTGTGGGTGCTCCATCACTGGACTTTTCAAGACGAGATTGGATAGCCGTTTGCCCAGAGTGGTATAGGGCCTCCTGCTTGAGCAGGTGGTTGGATTAGACGACCTCCAGGGGATTCTGTAATGCATTTTCCCAGAAAAGCTTGTTGTTTTTTTCCTTATTCCCTTTTTAAAAAATTATTTTAAAAGGCATTATCCAAATCAGAAAAAACATTGTTTGCAAGTGGGTGCTCGTTAGCATAAAAGAAGCTTCAGAAGGAGGTCTCCATCTGCCAAATGTTGTATATTCTCATATTTCATTGCCTGCCAGAAACAATAAAATTAATGTTCTTGTTAAAATTGAGGTGCTTGCAAAAAGATGAAGAGATGTGCCTTCTCTGCCTACCTTTCTCCCTTTGGAGATCAGGATGGCCTTCAGCCTTTTGGCCTCTTGAAAGGCCTTGAAGACCTGGTTCTGTGTCCAGGACTGGGGCTCCAAAAGTGTTCAGGGCCCCATTTCCTGGATATATTATCATCTATGAACACTTTTTTTCTTAGTTGCTTTATATATTTATTTTTAGCTTAAGGATATTTCTCCATGTAGTAGGGCTGTATTGCTATTATCCTTCTCATCTTTCCTATTACCTTCTCCTATTGGTATCTTATGATTTATCACTTTGTTGTTTGTATCTTATGATTTATGGTTGCATCTAATAATTTATGATTAATCACTTTGTTGTTTGTATGTACACCAAGAGCTTATATATGTATCTACACAGTATGTTTGTATGTATAATGAGAGCTTATGCACCTGATTCCTTGTGTGTGTAATCACACTTGGCCAATAAAGTACTCTACTCTACTCTACTCTACTCTACTCTACTCTACTCTACTCTACTCTACTCTACTCTACTCTACTCTACTCCACTCCACTCCACTCCACTCCACTCCACTCCACTCCACTCCACTCCACTCATTTTTTTCTATTCTATTCTATTCTATTCTATTCTATTCTATTCTATTCTATTCTATTCCATTCCTTTTTTCTATTCTATTCTATTCTATTCTATTCTATTCTATTCTATTCTATTCTATTCTATTCTATTCTACTCTACTCTACTCTACTCTACTCTATTTTATATTCTATATCCTATCTTATCCTATTTTCTATTCTGTTCTGTTCCATTCTATTGTTTATTTTTGTAGCATATTGTAATTGTTTTAATTGTTTAGCATTGTTCTCTGCTCAGAGTCACTTGTTTGAAATGGGTGGCTCTAGAAAATAAATAAATACATAAACAAAAAGGTGGAAGTTCAGTTTGGAGAAGTTCAGTTTTCAAAAAAGTTCAGTTCGGAAGCAAACGGGCACCATGCCAATATAAAAAAAATGTATGGGAAATGCCTACAGTGTTTTGGCCATGTTCTACAAGCAGCCCCGCACATTGTTGCCTATATCACCTTCATTTTAATATAGATGGCAAGTGCCCCCATGGAAAGCCAAAGCAAATGGGGCAAGATCCAATAAATGCTGAAATGAAAAATGCCCAGTTGGACCTGGATGCTGCATCTGATCGCACAAGATGGCACTTGTTTATCCAAAAAGTGGACCCTGCACTCGTAGGAAAAACACTAGGATGATGATGATGATGATAATGATGATGATGATGATGGTGATGGTGATGATAACGGAAAGATGGAAGTCTATGGAAATTCTCAGTCATCCAGATCTTATTTATGTACACAGAGAGCTTATGTTTGTATGTACACTGAGAGCTTATGCACCAGAGACGAATTCCTTGTGTGTATTATGAAGGAACACAGGGCGGAAAACATCCTGCAGCCAAGAAGGCTTCACACACATTTGCAGTACTCAGGTGACCTTGAGGACACAGGTAAACCTCCAAATGGCCTCAGCAACTCTCTAAAAGAATGCAGCTGTCTGCAAGGAATATAAATCCTTCCATTCCCCACCATCCAGTCAGAGCTGAAAAAGCTTCTTGGATGAGAAGTGAAACATCTTCGAAGAAAAAATAAAGTCCCGTTGCCCTCTGAAAAAGCACCTTTGGAAAAAGTGGAAGACTCTCAGAAGGCATTGTTCCTGCTTTTGAATTTTTTTTTTTTTACTTTTTAAAACGTCCTGCGTTCTAACGATACTCTCAAAAGTTTGTATGAAATCTCCACTTCCAAGAGGTACCCAGATGAAGAAAATTGATTAAAAGGGAAGACGGGAAGGAAACTTCACCGGGAGACATTTATTGCAGGGTTAGAACATATGAGAAAGATTGTCTGAAGTATTTTAGCAGCAAGATAGTTTGTCAAAAACAAAAACAAAACCAACAAAAACAAAACTTAAGTTTCCGGGTTGCCGAGTTTCTGAAACCAGAGTGATTTCATTTCTGACAAAAATAAGGTTGCCAAACATGACCCAGGGCAGTAATTTTTGAAAGGTAGCAAGCAAGATTATCTAAAGGAAGCTTTAAAAAAAATGACACTTACTATTACAATGATCTGGATCACCACCTTTCAGCCAATTCAGAAACCAAGTAGGGAATCCAGGGGAAAAAAATGTGGCCACTTCTAGGGGCTCCAAATGGGCTCCCTCCCTCCCATGCCCACTCCCCACCCCAATGTTTTTTCTTTTCCCCGTTTCCTCTTCAAATAAGTTTACTAATTTAATTTGATTTTGAGACCGCCTGACTCCTTAGCAAATTGGACAGCTTACAATTAAAAGACAACGTATTTAGAAATGGTCACAACCAGCCAGAAGATTATACACTCCCAATAAAACCCCCAAATCATAGCCACTCCCCAACCATCCCATCCTAAAGCCTGGAAGAACAACCACATTTTTAACCATTTCCTACACATCATCTCTTGGGGGATAACCTACCCGGGTCATACAACAGGACGACAATATCCTCTATTTAAGACCACAATTGAACCCCAAGTGTCTGTTGCTAAGCAAGACCATTGTTAAGTGAGTTTTTCCCCCATCTGATGACCTTTCTTGCCATGGTGGCTAAGTGAATCACTGCAGTTGTTAAGTTAGTAACACAGTTGTTAAGTGAATCTGGGCTTCCCCGTTGACTTGGCTTGCAAGAGAATTGCAAAAGTTGCAAGTCCATGAACCCTGGACACTGCAACAGTCATAAACACAAGTCAGTTGTCAAGCATCTCAATTCTGATCATGTGACCTGTGAAGCGGTATATAAGTGCTATTGCTATTGTAATGTCAAATGGTCACTACTGTATATTCTGGTGTATAAGGCGACCCGGCGTATAAGACGACTCCCATCTTCGGCGCCGAGTCACATGCCTAGAAAGTCATCTTATATGCCGGAAACTACCGTAATTTCCGGCATATAAGATGTCTCGGCGTATAAGACGACCCCTGACTTCGGTGCTGATTTTACTGCTTGTGAAAGTCTTCTTATACGCCGGAAAGTACGATAAATGAATTGTTGAAAGTGAAGGACTGCCTGTATTTAATTGATGGGACTCAGGCTGCATTGACTCTCCCTGACATATTGGCTAGGCAGAAATACTTGAGGCAAGCAATCCCTCAGCCAGCTATGCTAACTTGATTTTTTTTTTCCCCCAATATGGTCAGATATAGCCGAGTATAAACCTATTTATCAGACACCAAAACATCATGAAATGTCTGGCCATCATGAAAGCAGAATTGCTTCTGCAGCTTCAGATGATTGACAACAGTGCAGATAGACTTCGACTTAACCACAGTCCATTGAGTGACTGTTCAAAGTTACAACGGCACTGAAAAAAAGTGACTTGCGGCCATTTTTCACACAACCATTGCAGCATCTCCATGATTAAAACTTGGCAACTGAGTCATATTTATGATGATGGCAGTGCATTCTGGGATCAGGTGATCCCCTTTTGCAACCTTCTGACAAGCAAAGCCAATGGGAAGCTAGATTCACTTAACAATGAGATTAGTAACTTAACAACTGCAGTGATTCCCTCAACCCTTTTGTCAAGAACGTTCGTAAAATGGAGCAAAACCCACTTAACAAATGCCTCGCTTAGCAACATAATGTCATGGTTCCGACAGATGAAACTCTTCAAAGAACCTCAAGGCATTGTTTACCTTAAAGAATCATTATTTGAGTAGCATAGCATCGCACTAACATAGTCAAAGCCAAAAACTGAGTTCCCCTCCCCTGAGCACATAGTATCAAAGCACAATTCCCTCCTCTAATTAACTGTCATAAATCACATTCTCCAATTAGTTTGAAATGCAGGCTTCCCCCCCAGTTCTCCAAGCTGCCAATTCTTATCATCTCTTATGTCAATAATCTTGGTTCACATACTAGGTTCAGTATTGTTATGTCTAGCTTAACTCCCAGCCACATTCCTCCTCTTCCCCCCAGTATCATCTAATTCTAAGAGTAAAACGTTAGAGGGAAAATGGTTGCATCTCCATATGTTGTCAAAGCAAAAACATCCGATATTAGCAGCATTGACACATACATTTTGGGCTCAGTTGTGGCTGTAAGTCAAGGACTAGCTGCATGAGTATGGGCTTTTTACAAAGAAATCCTGGGATTTTTTCTGGCTCAGGATACTTACTCACAGAGAAGGATTCCATTTTCCAAAGCAGCGCGAAAACCCTTGCTTCCGAAACTTTTCCCAGTAACTGCCTGCGAAGGAAAACATAATAATAACAATGAGCAATCTCATGGGAAACTTAGACATATCAATGGGTAACTTTCAAGAAGGAGCACCTATGCTTCTTTGAAGAGCAGGAGACTCTTCTTTTCAACCATGAAGAAGCTGAGTATGACACTGTTATAGGTGCTTAGAGAAAATACAAAATGGGGGGAACGGCCCAACTCTTGCAGAATTCATATCCAATCTTGGTCTTATGAGATTTTTGGTCTCAACCAGCTTGAGACCAAAAACCTCTTTGATGTCCGATGGGAGCAGACATCAAAGTCAGACAAAGCTGACTGGGGAATTCTGGGAGTTGGAAATCCACAAGTCTTAAAGTGGCCAAGTTTGAGGACTCCTGCATTAGAGACAGAGATTAAAGGGTATTGTTAAGATTAAGTTTGTTAAGATTAAAGCGTACTGATTAAATAATAGTGAAAATATAAAGCCATTTGGAATGGGCTGTGGTGGTGCATTGGTTAGAATGCAGTATTGCAGGCGAACTCACTGCTCATTCCAGGAGTTTGATTCTGACTGTTTCGAGATTGGTAAAATGAGGATCCAGATTGTTTGGGGCAATATGCTGACTCTGTAAATCATTTAGAGAAGGCTGTAAAGCACTATGAAGTGCTATGTAAGTCTAAGTGCTATTGCTATTGCAGGCTAACTCTGCCCACAGCCAAGAGTTTGATTCTGACCGGTTCAAGGTTGACTTAGCTATTTGGAATGGACTGTGGGCTGTGGTGGTGCAGTGATTAGAATGCAGTATTGCAGGCTAACTCACTGCTTACTCCAGGAGTTCGATTCTGACTGTTTTGAGGTTGGTAAAGTGAGGACCCAGATTGTTGGGGGCAATATGCTGACTCTGTAAACCACATAAAGAGGGCTGTAAAGCACTACCAAGTGGTATATAAGTCTAAGTCCTATTGCTATTGCAGGATAACTCTGCCCACAGCCAGTAGTTCGATTTTAACTTGCTCAAGGTTGACTCAGCCTTCCATCCTTCCGAGATCGATTAAATGAAGACCCAGATTGTTGAAATATGCTGACTCTGTAAATTGCTTAGAGAGGGCTATAAAGCACTGTGAAGCCGTATATAAGTCTGAGTGCTATTGCTATTTAATAGCTAGTATTTTATTTCTATTTGTTTGCTTACTCAAAGGGCCTTTTCAATGCTCAACCCTCTCTGATTTTCAAAGAGGCTAGCTGGAGCTAGTGGGAGCCATAGCCCAGGGCGTTCAGTTTATTGGGTAGGAAGGCTGCATTAGACAATTTGTGTCTAATACATGATGACATCAGAAAATAACTGACTGTTAAGTTCAATTATTTCTTATCTGATCAAAGCATAAGAAAAAATTTGCTCTCCAGCTGGCTGAATTAGGGGTGCGGTTCATTTCTATAAGAAATATGAACTGAAAGAGTCCTATGAATCTGATGCCCAAAGGAAAAACTCTACCCATGTAATTGAATTTCGTATTTATTTATTTTTTCCCTTGCCAGCGGGTTCCGGCCTTGATTTTTCAATTAAAAGAGCCTTTCTGAAATATTTTTGCAATGTGTTGTCAACTAAATTTGCTCAAATGATTGCTGAATTCCTGCTTTTAAACTTCTGTTTCAGAAGGCTGCAACAAAGAGTACTCAGCGAGTGGTCCTCAATGGAACTGCATCTATCTGGAGGGAAGTGTGTAGTGGGGTGCCCCAGGGCTCCGTTCTGGGCCCAGTGCTCTTCAACATCTTCATCAATGATTTGGACGAAGGGATAGATGGGGAACTCATCAAATTTGCAGATGACACCAAGCTGGCAGGAATAGCCAACACTCCAGAAGACAGGCTTAAGATACAGAAGGATCTGGACAGACTTGAACACTGGGCACTAACTAACAAAATGAAATTCAATGGTGAAAAAAGCAAGGCTCTACATTTAGGCAAGAAAAACCAAATGCACAAGTACAGCATAGGTGGCACCTTGCTCAATAGTAGTAACTGTGAGAGGGACCTCGAAGTCCTAGTAGACAATCACCTAAATATGAGCCAGCAGTGTGCTGCAGCTGCCAAAAAAGCCAACATAGTGCTAGACTGCATTAACAGAGGGTTAGAATCAAGATCTCGTGAAGTAAATACCACTTTATAATGCTTTGGTAAGGCCACACTTGGAATACTGCATCCAGTTTTGGTCACCTCGATGTAAAAAAGATATTGAGATTCTAGAAACAGTACAGAGAAGAGCAACAAAGATAATTAGGGGGCTGGAGGCTAAAACATATAAGGAACGGTTGCTAGAATTGGGTATGTCTAGTTTAACGAAGAGAAGGACAAGGGGGGACATGATAGCAGTATTCCAATATCTCAGGGGTTGCCATAAAGAAGAGGGAATTAAGCTATTTTCCAAAGCACCTGAAGGCAGGACAAGAAGCAACAGGTGGAAACTAATCAAGGAGAGAAGCAACCTAGAACTACGGAGAAACTTCCTTACAGTGAGAACAATTAATCAGTGGAACAGCCTGCCTCCCGAAGCAGTAAATGCTCCAACACTGGAAGTTTTTAAGAAGGGACTGGACAGCCATTTGTCCGAAATGGTGTAGGGTTTCCTGCCTGAGCAGGGGGTTGGTCTAGATGACCTCCAAGGTCCCTTCCAACTTTACTACTATTACTATTACTAAAGAGGTCAAAGTTATAAAGGATTCTTATCGCAGACCACGACGTTAAACTTGTCCAAAGGAAGACCCATGTTACAAGATCAAGGGAAGCTGTTTCCGCAGAATCAGCCAACTCAGTCTGACTATCCAGGCCAATTGCTCAGACTTTCTCATCTTCTGGCTCAAGTGTGCTTACCAAGACCGAGCAGTCTGCCAACTTGATTCTAATCTGGGTTTTCCCAGACATAACTTGACCGAGAACATGTCGCATCCAGGCTGCCTGCAAAGGTTTCCAGAAGCTCATCCATAAATTCAGCTCTCAGGAGACTGGCAGATCCAGCCTGGCTGGGTTGTAGACTTTACTGCAGACATAACACTGCAGAGCAAAGACGGACATGTTCGCAAGAACCTCGGGGTCCTGAGTAGAAGGCACCTCCTTCTCACCCTTCTGAATCAATAAATCATCTCGAGGGACTGGGGATCCTGCCTTGCCAGCACCAGCCCTTAAAATAGCTGGATGACACACTGCATCAAGCCAAACTCAAAAAGTCACATCATGGCTTCTTCCAAAGACGTATAGCTGCTTTCATGCATAAGATGAAACAGAGCAGAGATGTTTGGCTATGCTTTGTTGAAAAAAACACAATGATCTGGTTCCGATCCAATAACAGCCATTAAGGCTGGTTTTACACCTTAAGCTAAACATCCTTTTATATGCTGTGGGAAGTTTTCTATCAAATATATGTTATACACTTTATAGTGCTTCCATCTTCCCTTAAAACATTCACAGAATTCACAAGGGACTGAGAATCGGCGTCTTCACTAGATAATCAATAGTCAATATGAAATTAACTTAATCAAGTAAAAATAGCAAATGGGAAAAAAATCTTTTACTCAAACTTCCTTAAACCTCCAAATAAGCTACCCAGACCTACTCCACATATAAAAGGAGATGGTCTGTAAACACAAATAGAATTAGGTTTCCAAGTATGTGTAGATATGTGTGTGTGTATATATACACATACACATACATACATATACACCCCTCAAGTCTCACCCTAGAATCAGCACATAGACACTTCCGCATTCACAATAAGCTCCCCTCTATAACTGTTTCATTGTACCCCATTTCTCTGCAGCTGCCCATAAGGCAAACTATTTGCTTTTAGGAATACTGTAAATATTACTTCTTTCCTCACAACTGTCTGGATCTCATTTTTATTTATTCTAGCACAGGGGTAGGCAACCTTGGCTCTTTTATGACTCGTGGACTTCAACTCCCAGAATTCCTGAGCCAACATGGCTGGCTCAGGAATTCTGGGAGTTGAAGTCCACGAGTCATAAAAGAGCCAAGGTTGCCTACCCCTGTTCTAGCGCAACCTCAGCTCAAGTTGGAGCCCCCAATTATTCTTCTGACAATACCTATGTGTAACTCAGACCTTGCTGACCAACATTTTCCCACCTTCCCAACCCAACCCCCCAACCCCCCCACCCCGGAAGCCTTTACTCATTGTTTTCTTCCTGGCATTAAGCAGACATGGAAAAGTAAGAGCCCCATAACTCAAGGTCAGGTACTCTGCACTAAGAAGTTAAAAATGGTCTCAGAAGAAAGTGAGCTGTAGTTAATCAAGGGAATAAAGGAAATTAAATCTCTGCCTCTTTTCTTATGGCTTGGCCATCTCCACAGATTTCACACTGAGGTAGAACAAGAAATGACATCTAAATGAACACTTGTGGAAAATATGTAATCAACATACGCAGAAACTATGTCTGGTAGCAACTACAGAATTCTTGCTTCAGATAAAATCTCTCTTGTGTTTGAAGTCTGGTATCCCAGACTGAGCACCACATTTCCACAATCCTGAGGCGCTTTCAACTATGTGGTGCTTTTGGGAAGCCAAGGGTTTTTTGTCACGGGAACCCATCCACAGCTGCGGTTACAGATTCTACATTTCTGGCAAGCTACATTGCATTATGGAGGGGGTGGCACCACATGAAGGAGCTTTGCAAAAAAAATTCATTCGAGGCATCTGGATCCAAAGAAGGTTTCCCAATGACATCAACAGAGGCAAGAGACTGCAATGGTCCCTTCCCCTCCCTATCAATTAAAGCATTATGGATGCCCTTGGGAGAAAGCCATGCTTCAATTAAACGGCAGATAGAATCAAATAATGTGGTTGCTTGCATTCTTTTTTTTAAAACTTATCCAACAATAAATATATATGATTCCTGCGTAAACTCTGACTGTGTTGACATTTTGAGGCTCTCTATTCATGCATACATAGCATGTCCAAGGCAGAATCCAGTTATGATCAGAATAAACACAATAAATCAGAAGAAAGCTTTCCTGACCT